AAACCCTGATGAAATAACATGTAACAGTGTGCATATCAATGCTAAAATACTGTTTTCAGCCTGGCAGTAGTGGCTCACGCCTTTAATCTCAGTACTCAGGAGACAGAAGCAGGTGGATCTCTAAGTTCAAGAGGCCAGCCTGGTCTACAGAGTGAGTTCCAGGACAGCGAGGGAAACACAGAGAGACCCTGACATGAAAAAAACAAAAAACAATTTTTTTTTTTTAAAGAATTGAAAGTGATGGTTTCTTGGAGGGTTGGGAAATACTGAGACAGGAAAAGCTGTTAGAAACTTTTTAATTATTCAAGTTGTTTTTGACTTGTCCACATTTTACTCTAAGAAAAACAAAAATATCTTGGGCCAGGGAAATGGCTTCCTGGGTAAAGTGCTTGTTGCTTAAGCAAGAGGACTCGAGTTCTGAACACCAGCACCCACGTAAAAGCCAAGTGTGCTGTGGAATCCTAGTCTACACAGTGAGTTCCAGCAAATCAATCTGTTTTATTTATTTGTTTGTGTTGGGATAAAAGGTATGCAACACCAACACCTTGATGGCAAATGAATCTTTTTTTTTAACGTGTATGAGTTCACTATCTGAATGTACACCTGTAGGCCAGAGAGGGCATCATATCCCAGTATAGATGATTGTAAGCCACTCTGTGGTTGCTGGGAATTGAACTCATGACCTCTGAAAGAGCAGACAGTGCTCTTTACTGCTGAGCCATCTCTTCAGCCTCCCAGCAAATGAATCTTAAAACAACAACAAAAACAAAACAAACCCAGGAATCTCTTGAATGAGAAATGCCAGGACAAATCCACCACGTTACATGGGTAGTATGAATGTTAACTACACTTACCATACTAAAAAGAATTTATAATGGTTGAGTATACTTTTTTTTTTAATTGAACACAGTGCCTCATGCACAGTAGAAAGCCCTTGGTCAACTGAGCCATATCCACAGTGCTGTGATGATTTTCAAGAGAGAAATGTTGACTTGTATCCTCATTAGTTTGGGGTCCACGAGGGCAGTGTAAAACAGCATTTCAGAGATAACCAACTGCTTAATGCAACAGCACTCTCAGAAGTAGCCACAGGACCCTGACCATCTCCGTTAGCATTTATGCTGCAGTCCAGAAAATAATGCGACCCTTTGCATTGCCTGCTCCACAGTAAGCAGTAAATGAAGCTATTATGAAAGTCAGTATGTGTACGCTGAGCAAACAAACAACAAACAAAACAGCCTGGGATTTGAGGTCAGAAATAACTGAGCTTTCGCCCAGTGGTTAACAGCTGTATGGTCACAGACACTATGCTTACTTGGCCTGTTGGTTAATTGCTCCAACTTCAGAGAGTTGTTCTAAATATTGGGATGGTATGCACAAACCATTTCGTATAGGAAGCCCTAGATAGCCTGTAGCTATACCCATTACTGGAGATTCTCAGTGGCTATGGCAGTGTACACCTGTAATCTCAGCCCTGAGTGGGGTAGGGTGAAACATGAACTTGCTAGGGGTTTGACTGGTTTGTGCTTCATAGCAATACCTGGTCTCAGAAGACATAATAAACAAGACATTTGAAGTTCTTGTACTTTTATTGTTTTTCTGCTTGATTTATAACAAGGTTTCATTGTACAATCCAGGCTTCTCTCTAACTAGCAATTCCATTACCTTCACCTCTGAATTGCTGGCATTATAGGTGTGTGCCAATATACCCAGCCTTTAATATTTATTTACTTATTTACTTATTTGCAGTGCTGGGGATCAAAAGCAGGGTCTGAAATAAACTAACCAAAAGGTGTACTACTGCATTCCCAGCTTGTATTTTAAATTTTTAGTTATCTTCTTGAATTCCTTGCAACAATCTAAAAGTTTTCATATAGATACTGTTTTGATATTTATTAAGGAAAAGGAAATAAAATTTAAAACATTATCTGCTAAGCACTTTACATGTTATCTCAGTCCTCTAGTAATTTTAACAGTGGAATGGGAGCCCTTAAAAAATTAAATTTCATACACACACAAACCACATTTAAGGGCCGAGACTGTCACAGCTGCCTAGCACCCACAAAGCTTTGGGCAGTTCCCAGTGCTGAAGTCCTCCTGTCGGTGCCATCAAGCTCCCTTCCCCTCCCCCAAAAGCCATCCCTTTTCAGTTTGGGTAACTTATCTTACAGATCAAACAATACAAACATGCTTCTGGGCTTTGCTTTGAAGGCAGAGAGTCTAGAATTTGTATTCTTTGTAGTTCTGGCTCAAACTATAAATAAACAATTTTTTTCTTCCAGATTTGTGTGTTTGTAAAGCATCCAGCAAGCAGCAGACCTGATATTTGGATAACAATATAGATATATTTTATTATCTCTATTTTGCTACAAGGAAACCCAAACAGAGACATTAAATATTTTCCTTCAGGCACCAAAGATATATTTGCTTTGTGTAAATATACTGGAAAACTACCTAGAGGTGTAGATGGTAGAGTTCTGGTCTAGCACAAAGAGACCCTGGGTTTGAACCCCAGTCCAGTAAAGATGGGTATGGTGGTGAATGCTTGTAATCCTAGCACTGTGGAGGTGGAGGCAGGATTGTCAAAGTCATCCTCAGCTATACAATGAGTTCAAGGCTATCCTGAGCCTTGAACATATCCTGTCTCAAAAACAAACAAACAAACAAACAAACAAACAAAACCCCAAAACAATGTGAAGGAGGTTCTAGATGAAACTTACATTCAGGTGGACAGAAAACACAGTGTAATTATAAACTGTAGTTAAGAAGAAAGTAGCAAGTTCCTTTAGAGAGGGTGGTCAGGAAAGTTTTGTTTTATTTTTAGGGTCTCTTGTAGCCCTACTTGGGTTGAACTTACTAGGTGTCCAAGGCTGATCCAAACCCTGAGACTGGGATTACAGGCTTGCCCAACCCAGTTAAAAAAGGCCCTTTGGTTACTTTAACTGGTCAGGCACTGTGGTGCACATCTGTAATCCCAGTCTGGGAGGCAGAGGCAGGTGGATCTCTATGAATTTGAGGCCAGCCTGGCCTACAAAGTGAGTCCAAGACAGCCAAGGCTACACAGAGAAACCCTGTCTCAGAAAACCAAAACAAAACACAAAACAAAACAAGGCCCTTTAAAACCAGAAATTGGCAGAAGTCTGAAAGATGGCTAAGGCATCCAAAGAATCAAAGGAATAGAGTTCCATCCAGGCAGATGGTACACCAGGTACAACAGGAGATGGGAGGGTGGTAAAAAAAAACACCTTAGAATAGCAGTCCTCCACCTCTCAACCTTTGGGGGGGTGGAATGACCCTTTGACAGGGGTCACCTAGGGCCATCAGAAACACAGATATTTACATTCTAATGCCTAACAGTAGCAAATTTAGTTATGAAGTAGCAATGAAAATAATTTTGTGGTTTGGGAGTCACCACAACATGAGGAACCTTATTAAAGGGCTGAAGCATTAGGAAAGTCGAGAACTTAGAAACTCTGAAGCATAGTCAGTGGTGACAGAAACTCGATGGGGTTGACAGTACTGGCAAAACAAGATCTAATTTCAATAAGATTAAAAAATTACGGGATGGGGAGACGGTTAAGAGCAGATAAGGGCATCCCCCTCACGGATCTGTGTTCAGTTCCCAGGACCCACCTCAAGTGGTTCTCAATTGCCTTTAATTCCAGCTCCAGGGGATTCAATGCCATCTTTTGGTCTTCAATGGCACCATTGCATACTTGGAGGACACACACGGACACACACACACACACAAAGCAAACAAAAAACAGCAAGGAGTGGTTGCTCATTCTTGTAATGCCAGTCAGAAGGCAAGAGGATCATTGAGGATTCACACAGGGCTAGCCTTGGGTTCAGAATGACATCCTGTCTAAAACACAGAAGAATAAAAAGCCAAGTGACGAACATAGCCTGCTTGTTTGATGGAGAGCCTGTTGAAGCCCACAGGGGCCTCAAACTCGAAATGTATTAGAATGACCTTGAACTCCTGATCCTTCTTTTCTGCCTCGGTCCCTGAATGTCTGTGGTGTGCTTTTTAAAGGTTATTTGCTGAGTGAATGCAGTAGCAGGGAGGAAAATGAGTGCAAGCAGGGACATCAAAGGAAGTCATTCAGGGACGATATTCAAAGCCTTGGAGGAAGTTGGTTGTAGAGGAAGGCCGGGCAGTGGTGGCGCAAGCCTTTGAGCCCAACACTCGGGAGGCAGAGGCAAGAGAATCTCCGTGAGGTCGAGGCCAGCCTGGTCTACAGAGTGAGTTCCAGGACAGCCAAGGCTATACAGAGAAACCCGGTCTCAAAACAACAACAAAAAACCCAAACACGTAAACAATCAAAAAAGTGTCGAAGTTCGAACGATTCGGTTGGAGGCAAGGATAGAAAGAGTTCTGCTACGTCCGCTTTGTGGAACATTTTGAGATGCCAGTGAGTCTCCGGGACTAGTTTATCGCTAGACAGTTGGCTATGCTTAATCCAGAGGACCAGGGATCTGTACTGTGGAGGCAGGTATTTGGCGAGGACACGGGCCCCTTCTCCTAGACCCGGGAGTTATGTCAGAGGCTAACCCGCGAAACAGAAGCGTAGCTCCGGGAACCTTCCGCGACGGAGGGCCTGTTTCCTCGGCCGCCACCTACACCTTAAGCGGCCCAGTGGCCGCCTCCACAAGCCCCGCGGAGTCGTCGTCACCTCTACGGAAAGCGAGAGGCCTCGGAGGGCAGGCAGGACCCAGCGAGCGCGGCGACGAAGCCGTCCCAGGCCCCATAAGCCCGCGAGCCGCGGGACGACCAGCTCGCAAACCGGACTTCGGACTACAAAGCCGTAGCCCACATCATTTCCGGTTTCCTCAGGCCACGCCCAGGCGTGGCCACGGTGACGACGCGCGTCCCATGATGCCCTGCGCGCCGCGCCGCTATTGGCTCGGTAACTTGTCTCCTTTTTCAAATTGAGGCGCCGAATCGTTGCTGGGTTTTCAGACACCAGCCTGCGGGGTCGTTCTCTCCGGCTGTTGCGGGGCGGTGGCCACGCCTGGAGGCCTGCGTGGACCGCGGGGACGCTGAGCTGCAACTCTCGGTCCTCCTGGCTGCGGCAGCACCGGGCGGGAGGAGGCGGGCGCCAGGTTCCCACAGGATCGATTCACCGCCAGGCCGCCAGGTTTTGGCGGGGCAGCCATGGCGTCCCAGCCGAGTTCTTCTTCCAAGAAGAAGGAGGAGAAAGGCAAGAACATTCAAGTGGTGGTGAGATGCAGGTAAGAGGAGAGGCTGATGCGAGTCCGGACTCGAAGGCTTCGCTGTTGGGCTCCTTCCCTCGCCGTTCGGGAGAGCGATTTGTTTGCATTTTCTGAAGGAATCTAAATTACGGTTTCTGAGTACCACGTTTTGTTCAATAAAAATGTTACAAGGTTGAGCTCTAGTTAGGGTTTGTTTCTGAAGGGGAAGGGTGTTGTTGGTTAGTTAAGCTGCATTCACAAGGAATTTGATGGTTGCTCTTCACTGAAAAGTGTGTTTCCTTTTAAACGCCAACTTCGCCGAGTATTTAGGTGTCATGGCCCACTGCTACTCCGTGAAGGTTGTCAGTGTGGGAGTAAAGGTTCATATCTACTTTGCAGGTAGTTTGGCGCTTGCCTTGGGGTTATTTCCACTTCGGAAAGAGTAATAGCTAGTTCTCTTTATTCTAGATGCAATAGCTTATTCACCTCTATTAATCAAGTAGACATCACTGAATTTAGGTTAGACATTAAAAACTAAGCTGTAAAGTGGGTTTATGAAGCTCACAAGCTAATGAAGGTACATGTCTGTGGTGCATCGTATTTTTCTCTTCATCTGCCTTTGTTCATAGACCGAAAGACAAGAATTGTGAGTAGCGGGCGAATGCTGGGATTCGGCTCTCTCCTGCCCGGTACCCAAATAAGTACATTTTTATTTTTAATGTTACCGAGGCTGGTCCGGAACTATAAACTAGCCACCTTTTCTGTCTCAGCCTGTGGGGTAGCTGGGATTGCTGGCTTGTGGTTACAGGTACCACACTACCCAATTTTAAAATGAACTCGTAGAGGAAGGATACTTGTTAAGTACGGTTTAACTTTTTTCAACATTTTAAAGGTTTCTCCCGTATATTAATGTGTATGTATCTTGCATCTGCTTTTGTTAAAATATTGAAGGAAAACGTTTAGGTTATTGTTTAGTAAGCTTACTAAAGACGATGGCAAGGGTTTGCTTTTGGTGTGTAGTTTTTGTGTATGTGTGGTTAGCTTTTTTCTTTACTTTATTGAGACAAGATTTCATGTAGTCCATACATGAAATCTTGAGCTGTCTATGTAGCATAAGATGACCTTGAAGGCTGATTCCCCTGCCTCTACCTCCTAACAGCTGGGTGTTGTGTGCCATGGTGCCTGTCATTTTGGTGTTTTGTTGTTGTTGTTGTTGTTGTTTGTGTTTTGAGATAGTCCTACTATGTTGCTGACACTGGCCTCAAACTCTGGCCTTAGCCCCCTGAGAGCTGGGGTGTTACAAGCTATTCAAGCTTGAGCTGCCAGACCTGCTGATGACCAAGTTTTTAGACTTGGAGAGGAGGTGTAGCAGTTACCTTAGTCTAGCCAGATACTTAACTGCTGCACTCTGGAACTTTAATTTAGTTACTTAATTTGGAGGTTTCTTTTTAATCAACAGGAAAGCAAATGCACTTACAAAAGATTTTAGCAAAAAAAAGGATTTAGCTGGACAGTGGTGACACATGCCTCTAATCCCAGCGCTGGGGAGGCAGAGGCAGGTAGATCTCTGAGTTTGAATTTTTATTTTTTTGAATTATGTGTATTTATTATTTACTTTTAATTACGTGTGTACATGAAGGTATGTGCATGCATACGAAAGTGTCCATGGACAAGCGTACTCTCTAGGAGCTGGATTAACAAGTGCTTGTGAACCTGCAGTGTGGGGAAGAACAAGAACTGCTCTTAACTCAAGGGAGCTCCCTAGCCCAACAAATGCACTGTTTTACAATTCTGTATTATTATTATTATTATTAAGCAGTATGCTACTATTTCTTCTGTTACTTACAAAATATTTGAATTATAAAAAGTTAAAAAGAACAAAGAATACTTAACAGTGGGAGTGTTGTGGTCAGGCCTTTAATCCCTGCCTCAGTAGAGGCCAGCCTAGTCTGTAGAGGGAGTTGGAGGACAGCAGGGGCTGCACAGAGAAATCCTGTCTTCAAAAACAAACAAGACCACTGTAACATGTGCTTTTATGCGTCACCCAAAGTGAGAAATAAACATCTCATGTGTGCATATTAACCTCCTGCATTTCAAGCCTTGCCTTAAGAGACTTCCTTTACCTTTTTCACCAGTGAAAAATGTTTACATTGTGTCTGTTATGTAGCGTCTTGGTATAGGTTTTTCTTTTTCTTGTCTGGCCTTTTCTCCATCAGGTAGTGTTCCTGGTGCCAATGTGTCAATGAGTTTTAATAAGCAACATATGAGGTTTTCTCCGGCTGTTGGTCAGATCCATTTTGTCTCGTTTGTGTGTTTGGTGGCAGGGTCTCGGTATGTAGCCTTTGTGTGTTCTGTGTGCTCAAGCACATGCCCCTGTGTGCTCAAGCACATGCCCGTGTGCATGTGCCACCACGCAGACTTGGCGATTCAAGGACAACTCTCAGGAGTTGGGTCTATCCTTTGGGTACCTGGAATTGAGCTCAGGTTGTGAGATGTGGTGAGAAGTACCCTCTCCCATTGGATCTAAGATCAATGGATCTTAATTTAAAATTACTGTTTTAGTTCAAAATACGAAGTATAGGATTTCATCACGGCATCTTCGTATACCTGTGATTATGTGATTTCCTCATTTGTTTTCTTCCCTCACTACCCTTTGACCCTTCTCTTCTCTAGCTCATTCTCCCTATTAGTCCCTGAATTTATTTACTAGTGTTGTTTGTGCCTCTGCCCTGTATGTGCTGGTCCCGCCACGCCCAGCTGTTTTGTTTTTTTTTTCCTTCCTTTTCTTTTGAGAAAGGGTGTGAATGAGACAGGTGGCCTCGCTCTTGAGCTGCTTTCTGCCCCCACTTCCCAAGTGCTGAGATTACTTAATTTTAATTACTTTAATGATGTGAATACATGTGTGTCTGTGTGTGGATATGTGCATAGGAGTTTGGGTATCTCTGGAGTTCAGAAGAGGCTGCTGGATCCCCTGGAGCTGCAGTTGTGGGTGGTTGGGTTCAGTGTGGACGTGTAGCTGCTAAATTCTCTCTCTGGTTCTGTTTTTGTTGTTGTTTGTTTGTTTTGTTTTTGTTTTTTGTTTTGCTCACTAGTTTATCTCTACTATCTATCATAAGTGCATGATGAATATTTGTGGAATAACACATAACTTAAAAACATTAAAAAAATCTTTAGTCTCCTTCTCTTACCATTTTAGTTCAAAGTTTTACATATCTGTATTGAGATCCAAATTGATGGAGTTTGCTAGGACTCAGCAGGAACCTTACAATTTCTAGTTAAAGGATTGGGTTAGGGTAATAGCTTGCAAGTACTTTTTCTGGCGGCACTGACAGTCTCTAAAGTACCCCTTGAGAGTTTCTATAATTCTATTTCGCCTCCGCTGGCATGTACCTTGCTGAGTAGATATGCTGGCCTGTAAGTCACAGAATCTTCCTGCCTCTGCCTGGGATTTAACGGCACGTGACACCATGCCCAGCAGGAATTTTCATTACTTTTAATAATATGTAATTTGTATAAATTTCCTCTTTCTCTGTCCTGACTATTTGAATGGCATTCATTCAGTAGCTTAATCGCAAGTTCATGCAAGAGAGTAACATAGAGATGCTGGGAATAGTTAACTAATTGGAAAAATTTTAGTTGGAAAGCAAATCTGTTACGCTTGATACTTTTAGCTTACCTCAGTATATGTTGGTTTTAACTTAGATTTTAGTGAACTCTTAATGATGTATATTCCTGTGAGTAATATGCATTGTGTAGGCTTCAGTGGAGCGGCAAAATAACAGCATTACTAATGCTCAGGAGCAAAATTTTCCAAGATCACAAATTTGCTCCTCTGACCACTCAGTAATATGCTAGTGACTGGGGTATGGGAAGAGAAGGTGAGGTTTGCATCTTAAATAAATAACACCTTGGCTGTCTAGCAATGAAAGAAAGAGATTTTCTATTTAAACTTTCCTTATATAATATGCATACTCAGTGGGATAAATAACTCAGGTTGTTCCTTTGGCTCAATTATGTATTAAGTATATAAATATGTTATGAATGCTACTCTGTGGACTGTAGTTCTTGATAGGGATTAAATGGGGCCTAAGTTGATCTGCTATGGCAGACAGTTGACTTTTAAAGGTTACAGTTCCTAGAAATAAAATAGGTTGTTTTAATTTTCAGTTTACTTAGGTTTTTTATCCTTCTTCTTGGGATGAAATTTATTAAGTAATATAGCTTGACATAGTACCAAGCTTAGTACTGGGGAGATAGTAAACTAAAAAATATCCTAGTCTGAATTCTGTTAGGCACTAACGAACAAATTGTGAGAGATGAGGTTTAAAAAGGAGTATGGTAGGGGCTGGAGAGATGGCTCAGCAGTTCAGAGCACTGGCTGCTCTTCAAGAGGACAGGTGTTCAATTCCCAGCATCCACCTGACAGCGCACACCTGTCTGCAACTACAGTTCCAGAGCTTCTGTACTTTGCGCAGATATACATGCAGGCAAAACACCAATGGAGATAAAATACACATAAATTATATATTCTTTAAAAAGGAGTGTAGTAGGAACATACAACCAAAATTTACAGTGGTCTTACTTGAGGTTTATGGGGAAGAAGAATTCATGAGCAGAATCCCAGGGTTCGTTTTGAGTCAGGTGTGTGCCAGGCTTGCTGCCAGTTGAGCTTCATCCTTAGCTCAACAAAGAACCATTTTCTTTCTTTTTTTTCCCCCCTTTTAAAAAAACATCATTTGGTTGGTTGGTTGGGGGCATATAGTGGCCAGAGGACAACTTGTAGGTTCCTTCTTTTCTCCGTGTGGAATCTGGGGTTTGACCTCAACTTTTCAGGCTTGGTGGCAAGCACCCACTGATCCATCTCAGTCTCCCATCCAGTCCCTCTTCCTCTTTATCTTTATGCCAGGCAGTAGTGGTGCACGTCTTTGATCCCAGCACTTGGGAGGCAGAGGCAGACATCTCTGTGAGTTCAAGGCCAGCCTGGTCTACAAAGCGAGTCCAGGACAGTCAAGGCTATACAGACAAACCCTGTCTTGGACAACAACAAAAATGTATTTTTATATGTGGTGTGAAAGCATATGCAGCCCTAAGTTGGATAACTTGCTAGATGGCCCAGGGTCTCTCATGGAACCTAGGGCTTACAATTCTGCTGTTCTAGTTAGCCAGCTTGCTCCAGAGATCTCCTGTCCCCGTTGTCTGAGAAAGCGCCAGATTGATTTCCAAAGGGGTTGTACAAAGTTACATTCCCCCTGGCAATAGTGGGGACCCTCTTCTCCACATCCTCTCCAGCATGTGTTGTCACCTGAGTTTTAGATCTTAGCCATTCTGATGGGTGTAAGATGGAACCTCAGAGTTTTGATTTGCAATTCCCTGAGACTAAAGATGTTAAGCATTTCTTTACGTGTTTCTCTACCATTCAATATTCCTCTGTTGAGAATTCTCTGTTTAGCTCTGTACCCCATTTTTAAATTGGATCATTTGGTTTGTTGGTGTTTAATTTCTTGAGTTCTTTATATATTCTGGATATTAGCCCTCTGTCAGATGTAGGGTTGGTGAAGATCTTTTCCCAGTTTAATTGGCTGTTGTTTTGTTCTGTTGACACTGTCCTTTCCTTTACAGAAGCTTTTAAGTTTCATGGGGTCCCATTTACTAATTGTTGATCTCAGAGCTTGAGCTGTTGGTGTTTTGTTCAGGAAGTTGTCTCCTGTGCCAATGAGGTCAAGGCTCTTCCCCACTTTTTCTTCTCACAGATTTAGTGTGTCTGCTTGTTGAGGTCTTTGATCCACTTGGACTTTACTTTTGTGCAGGATGATAAATATGGATCTATTTGCATTTTTCTACATCTAGACATCCAGTTAGACCAGCACTACTTGTTGAAGATGCTGTCTTTTTCTATTGTATGGCTTTGGCTTCTTTGTCAAAAATTAGGTGTACATAGGTGTGTGGTTTATCTCTTGGTCTTTGATTTTATTCCATTGGTCCTCCACTCTATTTCTATGCCAGTACCATGCCGTTTTTATTACTATATAGTTGCTCTATACTACATTTTGTGATCGGGGTGGAGATACCACCAGAAGTTTTTTATCGTATAGGGTTGTTTTAGCTATTCTGGGTTTTTTGTTTTTCCATATGAAGTTGAGAATTGTTCTTTCAAGGTTAGTAAAGAATTGTTTTGGTATTTTGATGAGAATTCCTCAAGAACCAGCTATACCATTTCTGAGCATATATCCAAAAAATGTTCAATCATACAAACAAGGACATTTGCTCAACTATCTTCACAGCGGCTTTATTCATAATAGCCAGAATCTGGAAACAACCTAGATGTTTCTCAGCTGAAGAATGGTATTTCTGTATTCCAGCTGTATCACACATAGAAGGTTTTTGGATGTGATTTTTTATTTTTATTTTTATTTTTTTGCCAGAGAGCCATGTTCTGAATTCAGATTCCTCCATAGTGATGCTGCTAAATTCAGGTTGAAAAACTAACACAGAGTTAGCATAAGTATATGCCTGAGCAGTGGGTACTTTGGGCATAGTAAGTGGCCTGCATATCCATCATTTTATTGAATTAAACTGCACTTTTACTATAATTTTAGCTGTGCTGGGTATTGGACCCAGGCCCTCACATGTGCTAGGTAAACACTATGCTACTCAACTATATCTGCAGTCTTTTCTGAGATCAGCTCCTACTAAATTTCCAAAGTTGCCCTTAAACTCAATCTGTAGCTCAGGCAGGTTTTGTAACTTGAGATCCTCCTGTCTCAACTTCCTCAGTAGCTGGGACTCCAGGCCTTTGACAATTATTTTTGTATACTTTTTATTTCATGCCAGATAGTCCCTGGATGGTTTATATCTTACATATAAACTTGATGTTCTTTCTGCTACATTATAACCTAACAACCACAGTTAGGAATATTGAAGATATGAGCTGCTGTGGTGGTACACACCTTTGGGAGGCAGAGGCAGTATCTCTGTGAGTTCCAGGACCACCAGGACTACAGAGAGACACTGTCTCAAAATAAATAAATCAAGTGGGAATGAAGTTCTAAAAAAGAGGTATTTTTATATCTTAAATTATGTTAGCCTCTGTTCTAAAACACTTAGAATGGGGGCTGAGGATGTGGTTCATCCTCAAGTGTGTTTGCCTGGCATGCAGGAAACCATGGGTTTGATCTCTACTGCCTCATAATCTTAGTACTTGATGCAGAAAGATCAGGAGTTCAAGGCCAGCCACTGCTACGTAGTGAGTTTGAAGCCTGCCTGCACTACATGAGACTTGCCTCAAAAACAAAAAGGACGCTTGATTATGTTTTATCCATCTTTGAAAATTGATTTTATTTCTGGGGAACTGAAGCCTTTATGATCTACTGTCTGCTTTATCATGTCGTTTCCTCTTTATTTAATCCCTGTGAACAATTTCATATTACATATTTTTCTTGATTAGTGTAATTGAGGAAAGTATTACTATTTAACTTTAATTAAGTAAAAGTTTCAAATTCTACCTATTTCTTTTTACAGACCATTTAATTTGGCAGAGCGGAAAGCTAACGCCCACTCGGTAGTAGAATGTGATCATGCTCGGAAAGAAGTTAGTGTACGAACTGCAGGACTGACTGATAAGACCTCAAAGAAAACATACACTTTTGATATGGTACTTCTTTTCTTTTCTTCTTGAGTATTCACTAATGTAAAGTAATTCCATGGAAAATGGTATGCTTCTGAACTTTGCCTTCAGGTTTGTTGAGCTAGTTTCTAGTGGGCAGATTATTAACATGAATGATGTTGCTCAGAGCTTTCTCTTTTTTAAAATAGGTGTTTGGAGCATCTACGAAACAAATTGATGTTTACCGAAGCGTTGTTTGCCCAATTCTAGATGAAGTTATTATGGGTTATAATTGCACCATCTTTGCGTAAGCAAAACAACTAATTTTCAAGTTTAGAAGGTTTAGATGTGTGTATTTGTTTTTGATTTAATACTTTTTTTGAAATCTTGACAGATATGGCCAGACTGGCACTGGAAAAACTTTTACAATGGAAGGTGAAAGGTCACCTAATGAAGCATATACCTGGGAGGAGGTATTTATTGTTTATAATGTCCTTTTACCTCAGTTGCAGCAAAAATTTAGCCAGCTAAATTTTACCGACTTGTTTACCTCTTGAAATGTAGAAGATCAGAGAACCATGTCATCCGTGGACCTAAGTTCTTTATTGTCCTAAAGTACAATCAGTAGTAGTTTAGTAAAATAACTGTTGTGTCAGAAATACATGGTCTCATTGGGAGAGATAAGACCAACACATACAGTGAAGTGATAAAAAGAGAGGGTCTACTTAGGCTCCAGAATAGCAGGAACAGAATGCAGGCTCTTCCTCTACCATGCCTTTCAAGACTCTTAGCGGGTACCTAAAATAGTAAGCAATTTGTATACTATGTCTTTTCTTACATATGCACTTATGATAGCATCCAGTTTATGAGTTAGGTATAATAAAATTTTATCAACAACTAATAATATAAGAATTGTAGCAATATACTATAATATGTTATTCAAATATGGTTTCTCTCTGTCTCAAAATTTTATTCTACTTTCACTTTGTCACTTAAATGAAGCTCTTTACATTTTTCTCTTTGATATGTCCAACTTGCCAAAATTACTGCTATTGTGCTTTAGGTGGTAGTTTAATATTATTATTATTATTATTTTGTCTTATTGACACAAAGTCTTATACTATAACCCAGGCTGGCCTGGAACTCACTATACATTGCTCTTTCACTTGTAATAATTGTTGCATCTCAGCCTCCATAGTTCTGGGATTATATGAAATGAGTTACTCTATATTTAACACTATCCTTTCAGAACAATGGCTATTATAACCAATAGTGCTCCCAAGTGGCTGATAAGCAGGAAGCATAGACAGTACTTATATAAAATCAAAGGGGTGATTCGTCTTCCTGGCAGGATAGTGCATTATTTCTTCATACTACTCAGGATTATGCCCGATTTTTAAATTTAAAAATTTAAATTTAACAGCTATTTATTATGTATTTTCCATTTAATATGTTCAGGTTATGACTATAACTCAGGCTGATGTGACGTGACTTCTAACATTAGATTAGTTAGTTAGGTTTTGGTTTTTAACTTGCTTTGGTATAGTTGTCTCAGTATCCGAGGAGAGTGGTTGATTCTCATACACACATACGTACACACACCTAAGTTTGAGGATGCACACGTCTTTTTATCAGATGGTATATTATTTGTACATATGTTAAATATATCCTTTCCCATAGCTTAATTCATCCATAGATTATGTGCAATCCCTAATACAATGCAAGCACTATGTTTTTTTACTGGGGGAGGGTTGTTCTGAGACAGGCTTTTAAGTAGCCTAGCCTGACCTTAAACTTGTTATGCAGCTGAAGCTGGCCTTGAACTGACCCCATTCTCTATATCTTAAGTGCTGGGGTTCTTGGCATGCATTTACCCACACACAGCTCTTTTTTTTTTTGGAACGGTGACAAAGGAAAATGTACATGTTCAGTACAGACACAATTTTTTTTTCAAGCATTCTTTGTGATCAATAGAATTCAAAACAACTGGATTAGAAGGGTTAACTGGCTCATATTGAAATGTACTATATGCCAGGTGTGTCGGCTTGTGCCTGGGTACTAGTACTTGGGAGACTGAGTTAGGAGAATTGCACATTGGAGGCCAGGCTAGGTTATACAGTGAACCTTAAATAAACTAGTGTTGGGTACAATGATATATATCTATGATTCCACATACCCTGGAGACTGAGGCAAAAGTTATTTCAAGTGTGGGGCCAGCCTGGGCAATTTAAGGGAGATGCCTGTCTCTAAAAAGAACAGGGATGGGAATAGACTACTTGCCTAGTATGTGTGAGACCATAGGACCAATCCCCAGCATTAAGACACAGTAATAAACTCTGAAGGAGACCTTTGTTATATTTTAACTGTTGCAGTAAATGACATTTATTTTAATTCTTCTTAATATAATTTCAGGATCCTTTGGCTGGTATAATTCCACGTACTCTTCATCAAATTTTTGAGAAACTTACTGATAATGGCACTGAATTTTCAGTCAAAGTATCCCTATTGGAAATCTATAACGAGGAGCTTTTTGATCTACTTAGTTCGTCTACTGATGTTTCTGAAAGGCTGCAGATGTTTGATGATCCCCGGAACAAGGTAACTCAGGGTTTGAGAAAGAAAGTTTCAAATTTTACTGCATGAATCTTTTAAAAGTCAGTATACTTTTTCTTTATAAAGTAATAGATATTCTTTTGATATTTGTTTGATCAGAGAGGAGTGATAATCAAAGGCTTAGAGGAAATTACAGTACACAACAAAGATGAGGTCTACCAAATTTTAGAGAAGGGGGCAGCAAAAAGGACAACTGCAGCAACCTTGATGAATGCTTATTCTAGGTAAGAAAAACCATTTTCCTTTTACAAAAACTTTGGAGGTGTCAAGTTAGGATGGGTCAGGAAACTGGGTCACATAGCAGATTTGGAACTTGGAATCAGACTCAAAAAGAGGAAGATTGTTGAAAGGAAAACAAAGGTAAGTTAAATTAGTGCAGAAGTATTAGCATTTTCAAGACAGCTTCTTTTTCAAATGATGGTATGCCGGGTGTGGTGTGGTGGTTCATGTGTAATCCTGGCATTTGGGAGGCCGAGGAAAGGATCACAAGTGGGAGATCAGACGGGAATATATAACTAGGCGCACTTGGGCTGTGCAGTCAGACTGTGCTTCCAAACAACAGTCGGCAAAGCCGAACCCTCAGAGCAGAACTAGTCTATGCTAACCTCTAACCTTTCTGTTGACTCAAAAACCAAACCAAAGCAAGGTGAGGTGGCACACGCTTTAATCACAACACTTAGGAGGTAGAGGCAGGTGGAACTCCAGGCCATCCAAGGCTCCACAGTAAGACTGTCTCAAAACCAACCAACAAATCAAACTAAACCAAAAATGTAAATAAAACCACATCTGCTAGAAACCCAGATTAAATTTTAGGATGAAATGCACAGAGACTAAACTGCTTTGTTAAAAATTTATTTATTTTTTCATGTCTTGGGTTGACTTCTTCCATCCTCTGTCTTGTTTGATATAGTTATAATCATTATTTTGAATTTTTCTTTTTTTGCATTTTTTATTAATTATTATTTATTACACTTTATTCACTTTGTATCCAGCTGTAGCTCCCTCCTTCTCCCATGCTCCTCCCCTAGTCCACTGATAGGGGAGGTCCTCCTTCCCTTCCATCTTACCCTAGCCTATCAGGTCTCATCAGGACTGGGCTGCATTGGCTTCCTCTGTAGCCTGGTAAGTTTGCCCCTCCACTCAGGGGAAGGTGGTCAAAGAGCTAGCCACTGAGTTCATGTTAGCTAAACTGCCTTTTTAAGGTAGCCTCTTAGGCACTTTTATACAACTGTTCTATGGAGTTTGGTTTTTTGGTGGTACTAGGAATTAAATCCAAGGCAGATGTCAGGCAAGCACTTGATCACTGAGCTGTAGAAATTGAGGCCAAATCTTTTTTTTTAAAAAAGGATTTTACTTTAGTGTCAACACACAAGATGGTTACTAACTCTGGTATTCATGAAAGGTCCAAATTTCTCTAAATACTGTTTAGTTGCTGTATTTTCCACTGCTGATGACATTAGCGAGTGCAGCGATGTTCTGTTTGGGAGCCATCTGCTCTGAAACACTGTTCTTTTCAGAAGTGCCTGAGAAATCTTTGTAAGTGTGTGTTGCTGTGGCTGGAACTCAGGAACTGGTGTGTGCTAGACACTGGCTCTCCTCCACACTACAAGTTCTAGGGTTGTTTTCTTAGCTTTGATAAAGTTAGTATTGTAGGTAGCAGGTAGAATTTTGTCTTGCCAAGTTTTATTTTCTGACTGATGATATCTTTGTTTTCCCTTGTGCCTTTAGAGCTTCCTTTCCTGTTTTCAGTATTTTGTAGGGAACAAATAATGTTTTACATTGTAATGAGTGGACAACTTGCTCTTGTTTTCTAGTCGTTCACATTCAGTTTTTTCTGTTACGATACACATGAAAGAAACTACAATTGATGGAGAAGAGCTTGTTAAAATTGGAAAGTTGAATCTGGTAAGCATCCTGCCTTAATGCCACTGTGTTATTCTTGATTACTCCCTAGAGAAGTTTGGGATTCTCACTTATGTACAGTATCTTTATAGTTACTTCATTAATTAGCTTTGGAGTGGGAGGAGAAATTTGTTATGGAAAATTTACTTAGCTAGCCATTTAGTACATTATATATAGTGAAAAATATGAAAGAATACAAATCTTTGGATCCAAATACAAAGATTGACACTTTCTTTTTAAAATTAAAGGTTGATCTTGCAGGAAGTGAAAATATCGGGCGTTCTGGAGCTGTTGACAAGAGGGCCAGGGAAGCTGGAAATATCAACCAGTCCCTGTTGACTTTGGGAAGAGTTATTACTGCTCTTGTGGAAAGAACACCTCATATTCCTTATCGAGAATCTAAACTAACTAGAATCCTGCAAGACTCCCTTGGGGGACGCACACGAACATCTATAATTGCCACCATTTCCCCTGCATCTCTTAATCTTGAGGTAAGCCCTTTGAGAGGAAGCAGCCCGTGTGGGGACCGAGAGCCTTTCTTAGCTGTCATAATTTTAAAGTGCACTTACTTGCTTCATTCCGTGCTGTAATAGATAACCTGGACATTGTATATGAGCATATATCCTAGAAGATGCCACTGTGATAAAAAGCCAGTTATGACCTCCAAAGCGTGTGTGTGTGTGTGTGTGTGTGTGTGTGTGTGTGTGTGTGTCTCTTTCTCTTCTGGATTTCTTTTGAGATTTGCTGTGTCTTCTAGGCTGGCAGAAGACTTGTGATCTTCCTGCCTCTGCTTCCAGACATATATATTTGATTTTTGGTTGTTTTGTTGTTGGTGGTGATGGTGGTGGGTTTTTTGTTTATTTGTTTGTTTTGTTTTTTGAGACAGGGTTTTTCTGTGTAGCCCTGGCTGTCCTGGAACTAGCTCTGTAGACTAGGCTAGCCTCACAGAGATCCTCCTGCCTCTGTCTCCTGAGTGCCGGGGTTAAAGATGTGTGCCACCACTACCCAGGGAAAAAGTATATTTTATACTTATTTGTTTATTTTGTATGTGTGTCTCAGGGGTTGGGGGAGGGTATACAGATAGGAGTCAGAAAACAACTGTGGCTGTCAATTCTCCCCTTCTATAGTATGGGTTCTAGGGATCAAGCTCAGGTCATTTGGCTTGGTGGCAAATGCCTTAGCTCATTGAGTCATCTTGCTAGCCTTTCATACTTTCTTTAAACAAACAAAGATTGCTGGGACTAGAGAAAGCTCAGTGGTTAAGAGCTTTGGCTCCTCTTCCAGAGGTCCAGGGTTTGATTTCCAGCACCCATGTGGTGACTTACAACTATGTGTAACTCCATTCTTAGGGATCTGTTGCCCTCTTTTGGCCATCTCAGGCACTAGGCCTGCACACTGTGCATAGACATACATTCAGGCAAAACACCCATACATGTTAAAAAAAAAAAGATTTTCAATGTCAGTAGTGATGGGTGTTGTGTTCATTGAGGGCTTAGATTGAGTCAATAGACTTCTTGCATACTATTTTCATTATGTTATACTATGTTAAAATTAGGTTATATTTCAATATACTTCATTCTTTTTTATGGGTGCATAATATTTAATCATGTGGATGTAGGTGTTGTGTAACAGTGTTCTTGGAATCTCATGAACAATGTTTACTTACTTCAGATAGGGAACACATGTCAGACCAAAGTAAAAACATCACAGAGCTCAACTTGGTCAACTAATGGTTTTTATTGGGGTTGCTTACAGTAATATGGGTGAGAGATTACTTATAAGAGTAAAAATGGCTCAAAGACAGCTGCATCGCCAAAGCCTCCCCCATCCTCCATGTGCATTTGCTCATGGCAGCTCAACTTGCATACAGCCCAACAGGCTGAGGAATGTCTGAGAGTAGTTCTGCTGATCTGAGTGTCTCTCAGGGAGGGGCCCACTGCGTCTGTTTCAGGGACTTTCTGCTCAGTGGGTGGGAGAGTCCTGGTGTACCTGTTTCAGGGACTTCTGTAACTATTGAATTTTTTATTTCCTGAGCTTACTGGGCTTCCCTGCAAGATGGAACGTTTTACTACCCTTTAGAATATTATCCTTAAGGAATTTCCTTCCAAGGTGGAAAGTTTTTTTTCCTTTGAGAAAATTGTTACTTAATAGGACATTTTGTTTATTCACCAGCTGGTGGAATTCACTGAGTTTAAGGCCAGTGTAGGAGGCTGAGGAGGTGGCTCTTAGTAAAGTAAAGTGCATGCCACACAAGCATGAGGAGACCTGAATTCAGATCCCCAGTCCTCACATCAGAGCTAAGTTTGGTGATGCAGTCCTGGGGTCTTTGGAAGGATCCTTGGAGCTCACTGGCCAGCCAGTCTGTCTAGATTGGCAGGCTTCAGATTCATTGAGAGTGATGCCACCTGAAAGCATAAGATGGAGAGTGATAAAGGCATTCAACCTTGACCCAGTGGCTTTCACACTCATGCACACATAACAACACTTAAAAAATTCTTGGTCAAAATAGTCAGTTAATAGATTTCATACATTAATGCAGGTAGAAATTATGCTTGTAAGTTATTTAGTACATTTTAAGTAATGGAAGTATCTTATTTTCATCCTGATGTCTTCAGTAATTATTAACCTTTTATTTTATGACAGGAAACTCTGAGTACATTAGAATATGCTCACAGAGCAAAGAACATAATGAATAAGCCTGAAGTTAATCAGAAACTCACCAAGAGAGCTCTTATTAAGGTAATGTTTTTTATTTTTGTTTTTCTCAGACAGGGTTTCTCTGTGTTGCCCCGACTGTCCTAGAACTTGCTTTGTAGACCAGGCTGGCCTGGAACTCAGAGATCCACCTATCTCTGCCTCCTGAGTGCTGGGATTAAAGGTGTGCACCATCACACCAGGCTAGGAATAATGGCAGATTACTGTTAATTAAGATCTATCAAACTGCTTGTGATAAGCATGTGTTGTTGAGCGAGGGTCTCATTGACCAGGCAGAAGTGCGCTCCTCACTGTGGTTCTGGAGACCGGCTGCCACTGAACTGCTTCCCCAGCCCCTTGTGGTAGGCATTTCATGTAATGTAACAACGCAAATGCCCGATACATTAGAGGGTTTTCCTAACACTGATGTGTTGACACCCTTGGTAGCATTTGCGTTTACAATTATAAGTTCTGTTTGCATCGTTGATGTGAAATACCATGACATTTACCTCTTCTTAGCACTTGTTCAGTGATTTTTTTAAAAATATGTTAATGTAGTTGTCCAATATCTATATAATTCACTTTTAGAACAAAATTAATACTGTAGTTTCCCTTCTTTGTAATCAAATGGCCCCTGATATGCTTTCTTTCTCTTACTCTTTGTTTTGTTCTTGAGCAGAAACTTAGTTTGTAGTCCAGGCTGGCCTGGCATCTGTTTCCTTATGCTCCTGCTTGCCCTCTTTAGTGCTAGGATTATGGACATGAACCACCATGCCTGTTTATCAGTATGCTTTCTATAGCTAGTTTGCCTTTCCTATACATTTTCTATGAAGGGAATTATATACTATTTGGCTTCTTGCTTCTCCCTTTTTACTTGTTGATTTAATTTATGCTGTTGACATATATCAGTGTATTTCTTTATATTGCTGAATAATATTCTATTATATAGATACTGCTGTATTTTGTTTAAACATATACCAGCCAATAGGTTATTTCCAAAAATGCCATAAGATACTTAAAAAATTTCCTCCTCTCTTCTTAGCTCTAATTCCTATACTCACTAATCTGTTCTGTAGAATTTTGTAGTTTCAGAAGTATTATTGAAGAAAAACTATTGAAGCATAAATTTTTGGAGTCGTCTTTAAATATTGTATTCTCTGGAGGTTCACTCAAATAGTCATGTATTATGATAGAGCTTTTTAGTGTTGAATAGTATCTTATGGTATCTGTGTGCTATTTGTTTAATTTGTGTGACAATCTTGAATGATTTATTGAATAACTTTAATTTTTGTTTCAAATGAAACTGCTATTTATATTAATTCATAGGCATTTGTATAAATATACATGTCTTATTTACTGTTCTAATTTTTGTGAGGAGACACCATGACCAAAGCAACCTCTAAAATAAAACATCTTATTGGGGACTTGCTGACAGTGTCAGCGGGTTTAGTCCACGATCATCTTAGCGGGGAGCATGGTGGTAGGCAGGCCTGGCACAGGGTGGTAGAGCTCATACCTGATCTGAAAGATGGAGGCAGAGAGAAGACAAGGCTGAGCCTGGCATGGGCTTTTGAAAGTCTGCCTTCACTGACTTTCTTTCTCCAACAGCTGTCCTCTTACTCCTTCATGACAGGCCAACTTCGAACTGAATAAAAATAACATTCAAATAATATGAGCCTGTGGGGCTGTTCTTATCCAAACCACCCCAGTACATTTTCATCTAAATGTTTATTCTATCACTGTGTGTCCACCTGTATGCATGTGGAAGTCAGATGACAGCTTTCAGGAGGCATTCTCCACAGTGGGTCCCAGGACCTGTCAGGCTTCTGTTGCAAATGCTTTGACCAGCAGAGACATCTCTTCTGGACTTAGACTTTCATTTCTTCCTGGCAATTGTCAGTGAGTGTGCTGTGGTGCGTAGGAACTGGCTGCTTCAGTTTTTAAGGAGTGACTAAAGTAGTTTGTTGTGATGGGACAGAGTTGAGTCTCACTCTGTAGCTCAGGTTGGCATTAATCGTAATTGTCCTGCCTCTGCTTCCTACTGCTGGGTCTACAGGCATGCACCGCTATGCCCAGCTCTGCCAAACCATTCTTCAGTGTGTCTGTATGGCTTTACTGTCAATGTAAGTGATATGCTTTCTTCACTCCCTCAGCAGCGTTTGGTGATGTAGCTATTTTTCACTTTAGCCACCCTGAAAAGGTGTGGTGGTTGTTAGTTGTATCACTTGGTCGACCTTACATTTCCCTAACGACCAATGACATAAAACATCTTCTCTTACCTACTAGTCTTATGTCCTTTTTTTGTTTGTTTTTGCGTTGTTTTGTTTTTCAAGGCAGGGTTTTCCTGTTTAGTCTTGGAACTTGCTCTTCTAGACCAGGTTGCTCTCAAACTCCTCTCCTGAGTGCTGAGATTAAAGGTGTGTGCCACCACCGTTAGCTTGGATATGCTTTTTGGTGACATGTTTGGTCCTGTCTTTAGCACTCTTTTGTGATGGATTGTTTCTTCCTTTATTGATGTGTTTTGGATTTTGTTTAATGTGTAAGGGTGTTTTGCTGCGTGTATGCACCACGTGTATGCAGTACCAGTGGCAGCAAGAAGAGGTGTCAGCTTCCCTGGAGCTAGACTTACAGATGTCTGTTAGCCAAAATGTGGGTGCTGAGAACAGAGCCTGGGTCCTCTGCAAGAACAGCCAGTGCTCTTACCTGCAGCCCAGCTTTCCAGCCTAGAGTCCCTAATATACTTTAGTTTCTTTGTTACATACAAAGTTTTCTAGATATTTGAGGTTTGCTTTCCTCCTTTGTTGAATAGCTTCTCATCTTCACACAGGCTTTTGCAGAGCAAAAGCTTTTAATTTCTGTGTTGTCTACTATATCAATCTTTTCAGATGTATTGGGGTCTATTTCTGAACTTTGTTCTATTCATTTATTTAATTCTTCTACCAACACTATTTAGTTTTAATTACTGGAATTTTGTAATGATTCTCAAAGGCTGTCATGATTAGTTTTTTGTCAGCATGGCATAAGCTAGAGCCATTTAGGAAGAGGGAACCTCTATTGATAATATGCCCCAGCTAAACTGGCTTGTAGGCAAGCTTGTGGGGTTTTTGTTGTTGTTTTCCAGCTAGTGGTTGACATAGGAGGGCCCACCTCACTGTGAGTCCTGCCACCCCTGGCCAGATAGTCCTGTGGTATATAAGAAAGCAGGCTGAGTAAGCCATGAGGAGCAAAGCCAGGAAGCAGCATCCTCTATGGCCTCCGCTTGAGTTTCTGCCTCCAGCTTCCTGCCCTGGAGTAAGTGCTTAAGTAAGCACTTCCCTCCCCAGGTTTCTTTGGTTATGGTGTTTTATCACAGCAGTAGAGATCTTAACTGAGATGAAGACGGGTAGATAAGCTTATAATGAATACATTTAAAGACTTTTATTAAGGCCATTAAAAGAGTATTTCTAAGCAAATTAACATTGATTTAAAACTAGTTATAGCTGGGGCTGGGGTGTCTACACATGTACTCTCATCATGTCAAAGACTGAGACTGAAGATTGCTATCAAGGACAGCCTATGTGATGGAGTAAAATCCTCTCCTCCCCCCCTTCTTCTTCTTCGTCGTCGTCTTCGTCTTCTTCTTCAGTATGATTATAACTTTTATGTTTGAAAAACATAAAGTGCTAACATGTTTTATTTCATGCATATGCGCTCCAGACTTAATAATAGAACTAGAACTACTAACTTGATACCTATGTATAACATTCCTCTTGTGTAGGAGTATACAGAAGAGATAGAGCGTTTGAAGCGCGATCTTGCTGCAGCCCGTGAGAAAAACGGAGTGTATATCTCTGAAGAAAATTTTAGGTAAGCCTTTGGCTATGGAGTTGATTTCTAAGATTTTTTTTCGAGACTGTTCTGGAACTCACACTATAGACCAGGCTAGCCTTGAACTGAGAGATCCAACTGCCTCTGCCTCCCAAGTGCTAGGATTAAAGGCCTGCACTACTGCTCAGCTGGATTTTTTTTTAATTTTTATTTTTTATTTTGAACATAAGGGTGGTTTGCCTTCATGTATGTCTGTGTATCCCATTTAGGCAGTGTTACAGGGGCTGAGAGAGGGCACCAGATCTGCAGATGGAGATATAAATAGCTGTGACCTGCCCTGTGGTGCTGGGACCCGAACCCCGTTCCCCAGGCGAGCAGAGGTAGCCCTTAACTGCGGAGCCACCCCAGCTCTTAGTTTTGTTTTGATCCCAGGCTAGTCTGAAGCCCTCTCAGTCCTGCCTCCGCCTCAGTTCCTGGATTTACAAGTGTGCTAACACACTTAAAACCAGACTTTCCAATAACGGTAGCTTGAAGTAAAACCTCCTTACGCAGCAAGAAGGAAACAAGGTGGTCTACTGCCAGGAAGTGCTTCTTTGGGTCTGACATTAACAGGCAGTTATTGCGCCAGGGTGATGGCTGTGAGTAAAGGGACCTGCTGCATAGTCTTGAGACTTGAGTTTAATATCTGCAAGCCACATGGGGGAAGAAAAGACCCTGCTTCTACCAGCTGTCCTTCAGCCCCCACCTGTGTACCATGATATTTGTGCAAGTGCGTGTAAACACCCACACAAATAATAAGGAATTTTTTTTTAAGTGGCATGTCCCAGGAGGCAGAGATAGAAAGACTGAGAGTTTGATACAGGTCAGGGCTACATAACAAGACACAAGACTAGTCTCAAAACTAAAACTGATTGGTGAGGTGGGTCATCAGGTAACAGTGCTTCTGCCAAGCCTAAGGACGTGAGTTGAATCCCTCAAAGCCCACGTGGCAGAAGGAAAGAACCATCTCCACCAAAAGTTGTCATCTGACCTCTGCTGTAGCAACTCACCACCCTTCACCAAATAAATGTTTAAAAACATTGTTATCGAACGCCTTTTAGCTAACTTCATATTTTAAAATAATTACTAGTTTACATTAAAAATTATAAGAATAGTACAGAAAAGTCCCATGCATCATAGTTACTTATTTAGGCAGGGTCTCATGTAGTCCAGACTAGTCTTAACCTCACTGTGTAGTCAATGATGACCTTAAACTTCTCCTGTCTCCACCTCCCAAGTGCTGGCATACAGGCATGTGTCACCAGGCTTAGTTTTATGTAGTCCTGGGGATCAAACCCAGGGCTTTATGGATGCTGAACAAGTACACCATTTGAGTCACATCCTTAGCCCTTTTATTTTATTATTTTTTAAAGATTTTATTTATTTATACAGCATTCTGCCTGCATGTGTGTCTGTGCACCAGAAGAGGGCACCAGATCTCATTATAGATGGTTGTGAGCCACCACCATGTGGTCGCTGGGAATTGAACTCAGAACCTTTGGAAGAACAGCCAGTGTTCTTAACCTCTGAGGCATCTCTCCAGCCCCCCCCCCCTTTTATTTTTTCTAAAGACAGAGTTTTGTTTTCTGGTCCTAGCTGGACTTAAACTCACTATGTAGGTCAGGGTGGCCTTGAATTCATAGGAATCCTACTTCAGCTTTCTGAGTACTGAAATTATAGGCATGGGCCATAACACCGGGCTCCCATGTATTCCTTAATGTGACTCAGTAGTCAGCTTGGGAGTTAGCACTGCCACCATGTGTATGGATGGTTCTGTACCATTTTAACTCGTGTACACATTTGTGTAAGCATCACTGCACTGAAGATACAGAAACCCCTTTTTTGCCTCTTCAAAGTCATTTTCATCTTCTCCTCTTCCTGTGACCTCTATTCTCTGACAAATTTATACTTGAGCTAAACCACCAACCAAGTCATTTCTGAAGTTTCCTAACACTCAAGAACTCATTAAAGTGGGTCTGGAAAGCCTGTGAGTTCTGCGTTAAGAAGCGCTGCTGCAGCCAGATGTGGCGTTGCCTTTGATCCCAGCACTCTGGACACATAGGCATATTTCAGAATTTGAGGCCAGCTCATCTTTAAGAAGAATAAAAAAACATTCATCGAACTTTATTTTATCTTTTTGTTTGTTTTTTGAGATAGGGTTTCTCTGTGTAGCCCTGGCTGTCCTGGAACTTGCTCTATAAATCAGGCTGGCCTCAAACTCAGAGATCCTCTGCCTCCCGAGCGCTGAGATTAAAGGCATACACCCAGCTTTATGTTCAAATGTTTTTGTTGAATTTTATTTCTGTTGTTACTTTTGTTTGTTTGTTTGTGTTGTTTTGCGTTTTGTTGTTGTTGTTGTTGTTGTTTTGTTTTTTGGTTTGGTTTTTGAGATAGGTTTTGTTTGTGTAGTGTTGCCACATGTTTGGTTTACAGTCCTGCGGGTTGAATGGAGTGTAAAAAGTGGTACCTGGAATTATGTCTGCACTTCCATCACATGCTTTCTTTGGTTGAATTTTTTTGTAGGGCGAAGGCAAAGCCCTTCAATCCTGAATGACTCACCCAGATTTCTAGTTAGAGTTTACTCTGGCTGCTGTCACACGATTAGAATGGGTTTAAGTGCTGAGGCGCCCCCCATTCACTGTAGATTTTCAGTCACATGCCTGGCTTTTCATTGTGTTTGTAGTGAGAGAGAAGCAGAAATTCACATACACTGGGCTCAGACTCCTGGCTCTCGAGGAGGTTCATTGCCCCCAAGAGGATACTCAGCAATATCCAGGCCTCTTGTTTGTTTTAATCAAAGACTTTATTGGCTGAATGTTATACAACACTCTTTAACATTTAACTTGAGCAGATGGAAGGTGAGAAACATGTCATTCAGATCTATGAAATAAAATAGGCCCGTCAAGATTTGAAATAAAGACAAAAGATAGCATGAAGTAGAACTTAAATACTGAAGTTAAAACATGGTAATTTTTTTAATGAAAATCTAGTTTGTAATAAAATGCCTTTGAGAAATTTATCATGAGGGAAAAAAAAGATTCTTAAAATCTGACCTTTTTCAATACATTATTATTATTATTATTATTATTATTATTATTATTATTATTATTAT